GTTTCCTCCCACACTCCAAAGACATTCTGGTAGGTTAATTGGCACTAGTATGAATGTAAGCTCCCTGAGGGTATGGATGTGCTCATAAAGGTGTATAATTGCTTCTTGCCCAAGAGAAACCTGCAATGGATACCCTGCAAGTATGCACATGGTCCAAAAAAAGCCATGCCATGTGTATCCCTTCTCTCTGCTTTGCAGAAGGCTCTGGCAAACATAGCTAGCTGTGGTGCCTCCTCCTTTTCAGTCATGAGGCAGAAGTGTCAGTGGCACAAATAAATACGCACAATTGACACCTCTGCTTTGGTGTTTTTGGGATTGGTAAATGTCACCTGCCTCCAGCTGCTGTGTTTACTTTTGGCCAAGGTACTGAACTTTTGTTCTTATGTCTCTGGAGTGAATGTCCTTCCACAAATGTGATGATGCAATTCCAGTCTGGGAGCTGGTCCTGAGACCATTTGTGTGTGATAATTAATTTTCTCCCACATATGCAAATAGATTTTCTTTTATGTGCAATATATTTATTATGAAAACTATTTGATTAGTTCCTTTAGTTCTTAGTTGCAACTAGTGAATTAAAAAAAAAAAAAAAAGGCTCAGGTTGACACGTTAAATACTCTACCTATCCACCAGCTGAATTCAATTTTCCATTCCAAACAGCTTTGGAGCTGTTAAAGGTTGTTTGGGGTTTTTTTTTTTGGGGGGGGGGGGGGTTATTTGTATTATTTAACATCTTGCATGTGTGCAGAATAAAATGTTTATTTTGTAGATTTGTATGGATGTTAATACATTCCACTTGAGGGAAAGAAAGGTTTATTGATTCAACAGATACATAAATAGTTCATATTCTACATTTATTCAAAAGCAACACAGTTCAGTACATTCATTTACTTGTGTAAAAAGAACCCGTATTTATGGTGCTACATTTTGCACAGAACTTTACAAGAAGGGCCCTGCTCATAGGAGCTTACAGTCTAAAAGACATCAAAAACTTGCACTTTCACAGTGTACAGCTGGGAACAAAATAAGGCTATTAATCAGGCAATACATTTTACAAGATACAACAAATCTCACCATCCTGGCATTATAACAACCAGAGACTCATCCCCGATGACTAGCAGAATGAAAACAGCATAGCCAACGTGTACGAAAGAGCATGGGCCCTTCAGTCTGTCATGGATCTGAAGGGGAACCCCATGGCTACAAAAAAAAAAAAAAAAGTGTGGCTCCTTCCCAAAATGACTAACAAGGCCAGGAAGGGGGGGGGGGGGGGGGTTGAAGCGCGACCCCCCCCCCCCCCCCCCCATACACACACTTTTTATTTGTAATGTCAACTTTTTTGTTTCCATTCATGTGAAACCCATCTAAAATGTACCAGATTGCAAAATACACATATAAAAACATGCATTATTATTAGCTCAGGGACTTATATAGCTCCATCAGTTTACACAGCACTTTACATACACATTGTACATTCACATCAGGCCCTGCCTTCAAGGAGCTTACAATGTAAAGTCCCTAACTCACATTCATATACTAGGGACAATTTAGACAGGAGCCAAAACAAATACCAGCTTGCCTTTGAAGGAAACCCACCCAGGAAGAACATACAAACTCCATGCAAACAGTGCCAAGGTTGGGATTTGAACCAGCAAGCCTATTGCTGCTAGGCAGCAGTACTAACCACTAAGCCACTGTGCTGTCACATGTCTGCAGAGTGCAACTCTGTGGTGTGATCAGTGCTAAGTCCTTGGGCATGCTCAGTGTAACTAACAATATATTTCAAATGAAATGGAAATACAAATGTGGCGCTGAATAAGCAGAATTCACAAGGCTGCTTATTGTCATTCACAAGTGAAAAATATGGCAAGATTTGCAATGATGGTGGAACCCTCCTACAAATAACTACTTATTTTATTTGGACATTTACATATAGGTGGTGGACTTCCATCCGGATCTGTTTGTTGATTTATGAATTGAATCGATATTTTTCTTTATTGGTGTGTCACTGTGGAACAGTAGTGTCACCCTCTGAATTTTGACTGTCAGTGACTCACACACAGTGTTGACATTGTGCCCCCTGACTTTTTACTGCATCCCCATATCAGATACGCTAGATCTGGCCCCGATTTCAATGCAGAAGGAATAGGAGGGCCCTGTTCATGGAGCTCACAATTTGAAGGTAAGGTGAGATGGTACAAAAGGTAATAGCTGCAGGGGATGATCTGTTGGAGGTTACCCAAGTACAGTTGTTAGGTGAGGGTTGGTAGGCTTCCCTGAATAAATTAGTTTTCAAAGATCCTGGAGAGGTTCTGAAGGAGAGTATGGGAGAAGGTGACAAGGGTACTAGAGAGCAAGATGTCTTAGGAGCAGCAGAGTGGACGATTTGGGCAATATCTCAGGATGAGGTTGGTGATGTAGTTGGGGGCAGTGTTGTAGATGGCTTTGTATGTTGTGGTTAGTATTTGAATTTTATACGCTGGCTAGTGGAAGCGCCAATGAAGGGAATGGCAGTGAGGGGCAGCAGCTACAGATCGGTTAGTAAGGTGTTTAAATCTAGTAGCTGCATTCATAATAGATCGAAGGGGGGGATAGTCTGTGTAAAGGTAGGCCAGCGAGGAGGGAGTTGAAGTAGTCAAGGTGGGATATAACCTAGCAGTGGATAAGTTGCTCTGTGGTATTGTTGGTTAAGAAGGCGTGAATTCTGGAAATGTTGCAGAGGTTAAGGCAGCAAGGTTTAGCCAGTGACTGGATGTGGGACCCAAAGGAGAGATCAGAGTCTAGGATTCCACGTAGCACCCTGGCATGTACAGGTGAACCAGTAATTGTGCTGTTGATCACAATGGTAAAGTCATAAGGGGGGGATTGGGGATATTATAAGATCAGTTTTAGAATGATTGAGTTTGAGGAACTGGTGTGACATCCATATTGAAATGTCTGACATACTGACATCCATACTGATATGATAGGGAGATTGAGGGGGTGAGCTGGGGAATAGAGCGATAGATCTTGGTGTCGTCGGTATAGAGGTAGTATTGAAAGTGGTAGGTTATCAACTGGCCCAGGGAAGAGGTGTGAAGAGAGAATAGGAAGGGCCCATAGATGGAGCTTTGGGGTACACCAACAGAAAAAGGAAGAGGTGCAGAGAAGATGGTTTTGTAGGTGACACTGAAGGTGAGCTGAGATACATAAAAAGAGAACCAGGAAAGAGCAGTAATGGAGGCCAAGGGTGTGGAGTTTATTGAGGAGGAGCTGGTGGTTAGCTGTGTCTAAGTCAGTCTAAGACTATGAATATTGTGTAACGACTTTTGGTTTTAGCAGTTAGTAGGTCATTAATGAGTTTTGGTAGGGCAGTTTCATTGGAAATGTTGTGGGTGGAAGCCAGACTGTAGGGGGTCGAAAAGGATGTTATCATTGAGGTACTGTAGCAACTCAGACAGTTGTGGGCAAGGCATTCAAGAATCTCAGAGGAAAGCAGCAGCAAAGAGATGGGTCCTAAGTTATTTAGACAGGTGGGGTCCAGTGAAGGTTTTTTAGTCTATTAATTATAGACTGTAGAGGATACATTAGTGTAAAACTGGTCAGCAGCAGGACACTTAACAGAGGAGAAATGGCTGAAATGTAGAGACAAAGGTGTTGATTTATTAAAGGCAAAGGGCTTATCACTTTGCAAGGGAATTTTTTGCATAGCAAGGGAATGTTTTCTTAGCTTAGTGAATGAGGTGAAGCTCTCCTGACTTCCATCATTAAATCATGTGCAAGCAAATATACTGTTTTTTTTTTTTTTTATAATTCTCCTTGCGTTGTGACGGTTTCTCCATTGCACAGTGATTTTTTTCACCATGTTCAGCATGTTAAGGGAAATCCTATTGCAAATTGAACAGCATTTTGTAAATTAAACCCCTCTGTGAGCTGTAGAGCACTGGCACAGTCTTGAGCAGATGCACGTTTCTTAGGGTATTTGTATCTGGTCAAGTGACTCTTAACACACTTTATTATGTGAAAATTCTCAAATTATGAAGTAAATCAGCCTCATTGTAATAGCAGTCCACTTCTTTGTGAAACATATGCAAAATACATGCTTTAGGATTTATACAGAGGGAAGTAACTGGTCTGTACTTGAGATGTTTTAATATTGCTTTTGTAAATATATTGACTTGTATTAATAATAATAATAATAATAATAATAATAATAATAATATTATACAGGATTTATATAGCATCAACAGTTTATGCAGCTCTTTACAAAATGAAAGCAGATATTACAGTTACAATACAATTTGGTACAAGAAGAATTAGAGGACTTGTATGAAAAAGAAAGGCAAACACATACCCAGGGGGTGGACTGACCATTTGGAAACTCGGGCACTGCCCGAGGGTCCGGGGTCAGTGGGGGCCCCATGAGATGCCCCTGGTACCTTTTTCATAGGCTTTTTTGAGTTTGGACAAGGACACAGGGGCCCCATGATCCCCTATTGCCCAGGGGCCCCATGAGTTGTCAGTCCAGTCCGCCCATGCACATGATCTTTAATGCTTAGCATGAGTTTTGAAGTATTGGATAGTTTATTACAGCATATATTTGGGTGTAGAATTTATACTGAAGAAAGGTATCGGTCAGACATTTAGTTTGTCAATATAAAGGTAAAAGCTAATTGCTGAGATGTGTTCGCAGTATAGATAGTAAATGAACTCAAACATATCAAGATTATACCTAAGTGATTAGACATGTGCAGTTTGTTTTGTTCTGAATCAAAATCCAGACAGGATTTTCATTATTTCTTTTTAGGAGATTCAGATGTACCCCAATTTCCGAATTACAATAGTAACAAATGTAACCGCCTCCTGCCTGCCATATAGTAATATGACGGACGCAAGGTGGTTCTCTTCATTTTGGGCGGATGTCATATGACATCGCCCTCCCATTCTAACGTGCGATGTGCATGGCTCCCGGAGCGCGCAGCTTGGCGATCAGCGGTGCGCTGTGTCCCTCAGACACAGCGGATCACCGATCCACGGAAAGAGCCAAAGATATCGGCTCGGTCATGTGATCAGCTGTGTCCAGTCACAGCTGATCACATGTAAACAGGGAAATACCGGTTATCGGCATTTCTCTCCCCACGAGCTGTCATGCTGACAGCTCGTGAGGAGAGGAGAGCCGGTAATCGGCATTCATCGGAGGACACATGTACACATATCATCAGAGCACTGATGATCAATGTGCCCTGATGATCTGTGTAGCTCCAGCAGTGCCACCTGTCAGTGTCCATAATTGCCAGCTCTCAGTGCTCATCCATGCCACCTGCCAGTGCCCATCAGTGCCACATTTCAGTGCCACATCAGTGCCACATCAATGCCACATATCAGTGCCCATCTGAGCTGCCTTTCAGTGTCACCCATCAGTGCCAGTCAGTGCCACCTATCAATGCCAGTCAGTGCAACCTATCAGTGCTGCCAGTCAGTGCCACCTATCAGTGCCAGCCAGTGCTGCCTATCAGTGCCGCCTATCAGTGGGCATCAGTGCCGCCTATCAGTGCCCGTCAGTACTCCCTATCAGTGCCGCCTAACAGTGCCAGTCAGTGCCACCTAACAGTGCCAGTCAGTGCTGCCTATCAGTGCCAGTCAGTGCCGCCTATCAGTGCCGCCTATCAGTGCCATAAATGAGTGCTGCCTTTCAGTACCCATCAGTGATGCCTGTCAATGCCCATGAGTGCCACCTACCAGTGCCTCCTCATCAGTGCCCATCAGTGCCACCTATCAGTGTCCATCAGTGCAGCCTATCAGTGCCCATCACTGCAGCCTCATTAGCGCACATCAGTGAAGGAGAAAAATCACTTATTTACAAAATGTTATAACAAAAACTAAGAAAAAACGTTTTTTTTTTTTCCAGAATTTTCAGTGGTTTTTGGTTTGTTTAAGAAAAAAAATAAAAAACCCAGAGGTGATTAAATACCGCCAAAATAAAGCTCTATCTGTCACAAAAAAATTATAAAAATGTCATAGTGTTGCATGACCGTGCAATTGTCATTCAAAGTGCAACAGCGCTGAAAGCTGGAAATTGGCCTGGGCAGGAAGAGGGTATAAATGCCCTGTAGGCTAGTGGTTAAACGAATCCAAAATAATGAAATAGAATTTCATCCGAAACAACAAATTATCCAAATTTGAATCGAATTCAAATTAAATTTGAAAAAAAATTAACCATATTGCTGACTGTGGGGGCTATTTACTAAAACTGGAGAATGCAAAAACTTGTGCAACTCTTCATAGAAACCATTCAGATTCCAGGTTTCATTGCCAAAGCTAAACTGAACAAGCTGAAGTTTAGAAGCTGATTGGCTACCATGCACGGCTGCACCAGATTATGAGTGCACCAGGTTTTGTAAATCCACCCCTATGTGTGTATTAATGTACCTAAAAGAATTGATGTTGTTTTGACACCAAAGGGTATTCAAATATTGACATGATTTAGATTTTTCTTCTGTTCGCTCACTTTGTATTTTTTAAATTGATAAAAATAAACAAGTAAAATATGTATTTATGAAAGCATTTGTACTTTACATTATTTCTTCACACCTTTCTAAAACTTTTGCACAGTACTGTACATAGAGGCATCAAAAAGTCAGATATTTTTCTGGTTAATGAATATTTTTAGCATCATTTGTGCCCAGATCAACATAGTGTATATGCCTTATAACCTAGGACCCTTCAGTTTTTTTATGTTACTTTCAGTCTTTTTATTAAACATTTAGGCCTAACATAGATGGTGCGATTTTCTTTTCTGCAACCATAGATTGCAGGAAAGAAAATCGCTCAATTCCCCCCTCAACACTGACTGACTATTGTGTTCTCATGGCGGGGAAGGGGAAGTGGAAGAGTGGTGGTGCGGGGAGCGGTCCCTGCTGGGAGCACACCTAGTGATTACTGCCAATGGCTATAGCTGCTGGCAATACTCAAATAAAAAATCTGACATGCTGGTTGTGTCCAGGTTGATCAATCGCCCAGAACTCTATTCTGGCAGCAATGGATGGTGTGCATAAGTGAAGGCAAAACATTCTTTTATTGACTATACTCAACATAACTGCTATGTATGTATGTCTTTAGGTATACAAAAAGATAGTATCTTCGATAACACGAGTTTTGGGTTAGAAAGACTAGTAAATACATTTTTATACATGTCATAAAATTGAGGCCATAATTCCCTATAAAAGAATTTAGTGGTATTTCATGAATAGCATCAAAGTGTTTGGGGTCCAGCACATGCTAATACTCTTGTAGTTCCACAGTTTGTATATGTGATAATGATGATAACTTACCTATAATTTCATGTAATGTAACAAATTCTGTGGGGCCCCATAATAGAGGATGTTGTGAAAATTTCTTTTTATCTGATAAAATCACAAATATGTAAACAGTATGTGAACAAGTTGTAGCTAACAATATTTCAGATATTTGACTCAAAATCGAATTGATACTTTTAATTCAAATTTGAATACTTTCGAAATTCAAGTCCATTTGAAAACGAATAATTGAAATGAAACGAGTTATAAAAGCAACTCCTCCAAATTTAACGAATGCAACAAAACAAAATTGTTAACTTAACAAATCCATCTGAACGAAACAAAACACATTTTTTCATTCTGCACGTCTATAAATGATTATCATCCTATCAAATGAAGATACATTTAATTGAATTGAATAGCTGTACATGTTAGAGTGAGTGTTTGGACCTTAGCGATGGCATCTTTCAGCACTTTGGCAGAGATATCCTGGCGCAGGGAAGATGAGCATGCAAATAAGGGTTACATTTATATAAGGAAGGGTCAGGTTTGCGTAAGGGTTAGCTTGAGGATGGGGGGGCATCATGTAGTAGGGCATCATTCTCTGCATCAGGATTTCTTCATCAGCCATTAGAGGCACCAGTGATGAAAATGAATGTATCGTAATGAGATGGTCAGTCTGAGTTTTGTAATCACTGAGCAGTTTAGGAAATACACTGCCAATTAAAAACCAAGTCAGGTCTACAGTACTACTTTGAAATATGCAGAATTATATTTTAATGTATAACTGAAGGCAAAACTTTTTGTTTTTAGGTTTGGATAGACTGAAGAGGGTTTAGCTTAACCTGTTGGGTTTTTATCATGTCTGTGGTCGTTATGGAGATTCTATTTGTCCTGATTATGGTTATCAAGTGACATTAAAAAAAAAATCCCAAATTTTGGGTTGTCCCCATAACAGGGATAAAGGGGAAATCTTCCAGTAGGCTTCTCTCACTTTGGAGGGATTTACACTCCCTTCCAGTTTTAGCTATGACAGGACGTAAAGGGAAACCTCCCCAATAGGACACAGATGGCAAAAAAAAAACCTGACAGGGGTTATAAACCCTTATCCAAAATGAAAAAAGATTTTACCTTTAGTTCTACTTTAAATTTTAGATCCGGTATCCTGTGTATATATACTGTGTTTATCTGATATAACAAATAGCAATCATTTGTAAATCACACAACTACTAAAAGTTTGTTTTTGCTGCTAGTATAGAGACCAGCAAGTATGTTTTGGAGAATCTCTGCTTGGGTTTTCTATGGACACTGTAGTATTGGTTCAATTTTTTTCAGCTCTGCAGATTTCAAGTACTGTTGTACTTCTACAGTCACACAAAACTGGTTTATGTAGATGTATTTCTACAAATAAAATGCCTTGAAAAACTTGTATTTCATGGTTGTAAGATATGTCGGTCCAAGGCTGTATGTATGTATGTATGCATAAGCTGGAGGGCTTTTTAGGATATCTTGTGTGGGATCACAGCTGCTGGAGGTAACTGAAACATGAGGTCATCACTGTGGTAAATATTTCAGTCATGTATCAGTAAAGAAAGGGGCGGATTTGGAACATTTGCTTGTTCCCTGAATGATCATTTTGCTTGGCTAAGCCTAATTTAAAGCAGGCCATGCTTTTTGTATTGTGGTTTCTGCTTCTACAAATCTGGTGTGCCTCTTTAATGTGTTTTTTTTATAGATCTGCATTAAGTCATTTTGCTTTACTGCAAATTGAGAAAGAAATTCAGGTCATTAAAAGTAGCCATGTGACATTCATAAACTAAACTCAGTAGTTTGCTTTACATACTGTATATATAAAGTGGATTCAAACTAAGAAGGCACTGCCATAGCTTCAGCAGATGTAAGCACATTTTTCCCTTCTGGCAAACACAGAAATGAGAGCACCTAAATGATACAGCCCATAAAGCTTCAAAGATTAAAGACCCTTTTCATCTAAATTGCTGTTCCACCAAAAGTCACTATACAGCACAACCCCCTAGCAAAATTATATTGCCCTCCCCTCTCTCCCCGCATTCTTGTTAGTCCTTTAATTTAATTACTTTTTGAAATTCTACATTTGACCTTGTCCCAGCAGTTTCTGAAAAATGCCGATGTGATGTCCTGTTCCTTCCAGCAATAGTAGCTGCAGCACATTGACTCTGGGAACATCCTGCTATGTAGCCGAATATCTGTTTAACATGATGCTTATGCAGCTCAATATTATTATTAGAAGTACTAGTAATATTATACAAGATTTATATATTTGCCAAGAGTTTGTGCAGTGCATTTTTAAGTATAATACATTGAGCGCAATAAAAAACATTCCCCCAGTAAACTGTTTGTAAAAAGTCCTACCCCAGAATATTGATGCCTATATTGTAGAGAGACCCAACTAGTCCCATGCAAGGCCTGCTTCATAGGACACTATGCAAGAGAAAGGTGCCACCCTGAAACAGGAGACCAGGTGCAGCAGTCATTGCACCAGCTTAAATAAGAACATAGGCAATAATTAAAAGATAAAGCATACATAGTAAGTGATTAGATCAGCTGCTGAAAGTGTTTAAAATTGATCATGTACATTATATTTTGGGGGTCCAGATCATTAGCCAGCCATCTTGGTTCCTTCAAAAACAGGCAAAGTAGCTTTTCTAATGCATAACTGAAACAAAATGGTCCATACACATCTGGTACAAAAACAAAGATCCGGCTCACCGCCAGCATACACCTCTCTCACAACAGGGTTTAACGTTCCCACCAGTATCAAGGGTGCCGAAAAGTTACAAAGGCAAAGCAGGGTCTCAGCAGCCCAAGTAATCCACAGCCTCTCACAACTGTGCCCTGTTCCACTCGGCAACTCATGTACACCTGCTGGCTGCTTCCTGCCCTTTTCAGCCCAATCTTGCAGGTGGATTAAACCTTTCATGTTGGAGGTTCTTTCCCACCTAAAATCTCGCCTCTGAATGCTAAGACCCATATGAAGGTTTGATAATCCTAAAAAAACTGCAAGTCACTTTTTCCCCTTTACCAGATGACCCCCGGAACTCTGCACCCTGCACAGGTGAGAATCCCTGAGTACTCTACACTTCTTCTTGTCTTCACCATTAAAGGGACAAAAACCCAAAGGATACACGTACCTGCCATCCAGGACTCATCCCTGGTATCCTGTACATTTAA